AAAGAAAAACCCAGGGCTTTTAAAAATGGCTCAAATTAGCCCAAGAAACCTGAAGAACCAAAAAAATAAAATACCTATTGTTATTTTTAAAAGATCGTAAGCCCGGCTTTCCCAGCGGTCTTTACTTGGGCTTCAGGGAGATGCAACGTGCAGCGACCTGATGTGACGTGACGCCCTCGCCAGCCCGCGACGAGGGAGCTCGCCGGATAGCCTGGCTCAGTTTCTCTTAGCACTGAAATACTTTTTCCAAACCAATACCAAAAAAGGTTTGTTTCTAGGTCAAGACCTCAGTACTGAATTTTAAGCAGGGGCCGACAGTCAAATCTGCACGCAGCTGTAAAACGGATTCGCAATAGAAGCTCAGGCATTCTTTTTCTAATTAGAAAACAGTCATTGAGCCTTGCGCGTTTAAAGGTGAAAGCTATTTTTGACATAAAAATTAGCACGTAGTTCCTCTGTCATCCTTCAGTTGCTGCTCTGGAAGCTGTGAGCGAATGATCCAAAGATAAGCAAGAAGCATAAACACGCTGAAGGAAATGAATAGGTAGAAGGGGATCAAGTTTTAAGTTTTATTCTGCCTGACAGTTAGGAGAGGAAGAGATTTATTTTTACACTTACTATTTATCCTAAAAAGCACTGGTAAAAAGGTCCACTTAAGCACTGAGACAGACCTCAAAGGCATCTAAAAACTTGAAGTGCTTTTAATAGCTGCCTTTTGAAAATACTGTTAAATCTGCTTTTGAGATGGATAAACTAAGCCACCCATAAAGCAAGGCAGGAGTTTTCGGAGGGACCCAGCAGTGAAAAACTGTAGTCCCCTGCTTAACAACTCAGCTCCCATACGGGGACCCTAAGATTAAAAAAAAAAAAAAAAAAAAAAAAATCAAAGCACCAGATGCTTTTAAAAACCTGAGAGTTCTTTAAATCCAAATTTTCCTTCCTTCTTTCTTTGGTGGGAATCTCGCCCTTGAAAATTAACCCCGAGCAGTTTTCAAACCGCGGCTCAGAGTGACCGTTTCTAAAATAAAAGTGAGCGAAGAGCGAGCAGAACTTGGAGGGCTTATCACCACCAGTAATGCCCCCGACTAATCCCTCGGCAACCCCGGCCCCTTTATGTAACCTGGGATTGCTGCAGCTCAAACAGCTTATTGGGGTTTTGGTGTTTTGCTTTAAACCTCTCGCGGACAAACGCAAACACGTTACGCTTTTTTTCTTCTGCCACTCTAAAGAAAAAGTTATTGTGAGAGGGGGAAAAAAAATCTTTTATTTGTGAACAATGGCAAATAGAATTTAACTCGTACGCCGAGAATAACACGTGTTTCTCTCCCTCGTCCGTGATCTTGACTGAACAGACACCTTCCCAATTTACAACGCTCGGGGACAACTCCAACGGTAAGACGTAAAAGGTCGAATCCCAAATTTCTCCTCACCAGAAACAGCCTCTGGAAGTGGCGGGGTGTTCCAAATAAAGACAAAAACGTGCCCAAGGTAAACCATTTATACAATTTCCTGGCAGCGTGGGTGGCTGTGCCATTATACTTACTTCCCCGCGGCCGGCTTCTCCGCAGTGCCTCGCCAGCACAGAGCCGGGCACCCAGAGGCTCTCCTTGCCTGGAGTTGTCGTGCCATTGCTCTGACTGTTCTGACTTCCCACAGCACAAATCCTTCCAAGGCAAAATTCGATTTTAAAACTTCCAGTCGGTGCTAAGCCATTAACCTAATGCTGAATGCTTATGGAAACTTAAGAAGAAAAAAATAAACCCCCCTATTGAGCCACTTGCAACCGGAGACCTGAATGGGCTCGATATAAAACCCGCTCAAATCAACAGCAGCAATAGGCTTCCCTGGATGTTGGACTAGATCCAGCTTGAAAGTTTCCATGAAATAAAACTAGGCTAAGCGCATCAGCTGCATAGAAACTAACTTGGTGTAACAGGAGCATCTGTTCTTCACATCCACCATTTTCTTACGGTCTTAACTTCCCAGCGCTGCGGCGACGCGAGCTGCCGTACAAATCCCCTCATCGCTGTCGCGCAACTACGCGTCGCCTCCTGACAGCAGCTGGCCTTACTGCCCCGTCACGCTGCGGACGAACCAGCGGTTACAAGGTAGCACGCATGCCGTATAAACTACTTGACCAAGTAGCTTTCGTTTGCCAAAAAACAGCTTAATGTATTTTGTATGATGGCATTACAAAGCGAAATTAATGTCTGTATTGAGACAGCTGAGGAGCACACCTTGGAACCATTTATACACAGTACAAAGCAAATGTTTACCCAAGTACAAATGAAACAGGTTGACAATTAGCTAATGTAGCTTTGTGGACATAAACCAGGTACATTCGAGCAGAACCAACATAAAATAAAAAGGAAACAGCCCTTTTCCTATCCCGTGCTAAGAGCACCATGGTTAGTGGTTTGGGAAGCCTCTGTCACATTGAAAAATTTCCTTGCCGCTGTTTAATGTGTTTATTCTACTGCTACTCTGCTGGGATAAAAATAACATCGGCAGGGCATGCTAGCTGTACAAAGGACCCACTGTCAATACTACAGTAATTGACAACATACGATTAAGTCTCACACCTGTTTATTGTAAGTAATTCATAGATAATTTTCACATTGGCTTTTAATGCTTTGGGTTTGGTTTTCTTTTTTTTTTTTTTAAGCTCAGGGACACCCAAACTTCACCTAAGGGTCATCTCTGCAATTTACCCAGATCCAGAACGCTACACCTACAACGTAAAACGGGTGCGAGCTGGCGTCACGGCCACGGGTAACGGAGATGGCTTGGAAACTACACGTCCCGACATGCAACGCCCCACCAGCGCGGGCTGCTCTACGCTACGGGAGGAAGGAGTTTTGCTGGGGTGCATTCGCCTCGCATGCCTCGTTTCGGCCGTATCAGCCTAAGTCATGCAGCTGTCTGCACGCAATGCTCTACACAGTGCAAAAACAAAGACCTCTACACATCTGGAGTAAGAACAGTGGTAACAAAGTCATAGCTACATATTCTTCTCTACATTTTTGTTTATTGAGACAAACTAATTAAAAGGCACAAACATAGGGCATGTTTACATGGACATTATAACAAACATATACATTAAAAGTGTAGGAATGTGTTTCCTTTCTGCTAAACAGAAAGTTCCTAAGCTTTTATATATACAAAAGTTGTACAATTTGATGTCCTAAAGTACAAAAAGATCATTTATAAAATTATTTTACACTAAGCTCTTTTTTTTTTTTCCTGGTTTTTTTTTTTTTTGTTTGTTTTACTATGTAGTCCAAGCCCCTAGAACAGTTTCACGTAATGATACAGATACCTGTCACCTGAGCCAGCAGCCTGGCAATCACTGCTTGCACTGACACGGCAGGGTAGCAACGGAAGCAGTCCATTTTTGACTAGTCAGTCCTGCTAGCGCTCTGTGAAAATGCGCACACGCTAATCTCCATAGCTTTCAACTTCATTAAGATAAAAACATCTCAACTGTAATTTTATTTTTTTTTTTAATGTAGAGTCTTGGGTTTAGGGTGGTTTTTTTGTTTTTTTTTTTTTAAACAAAGTTTTAAAAACGTGAATATGTGACATGATAGTCTAAAAAGTATATCTGTTTCCCTAGATTTTGCTTTCTACTTTATGTACAGATAAACAGGTTAAGAAGTAAAAAGCACATGTAGCTTAAACATGTGTGACCATTTGTGAAGTTCTGGGCTGGATAGTTCAAACCATCACCCCAGAACTCCCACAAATTGATAGAAATGTGTTAACACAATAGAAGAGTAACGTAAAAATGATGATGTTTGCAAATATTTACAAAGTTGAACAGATTTGCACAACACTTGATTAAGAAATAGGGGAGAAATTAAAAGACGCTCTCTGCTTGTCCTGGAGGGGCATCCTACCTAGTTAGTGGTTAGAATAAAAACTGTATACAATTTAATATAAGACAAAACTTCTAGTGAACAACTAACACGTCTGCCCCTGCTGTAACACCAGCAGGCTCCGACTGGGAGGCAGAGGGCATAAAAATCATACCCAGTGCCTCCAGAATCTTCCAGCTTAAAGCAGTATTTCTTAAGTTTCAAAGCACTCCTTTTGCTCCTAGGTAAGAGTCCCATAGGGGTCTGACTGTTCAGAGACCATGTTTACACACGTTTTGACTCCTCTTCTGTCAGCCATGGCTGTTTCTCACCAAACAATAACAGTTTTTTTTAAAAAAAATGTTGACTACAATGCTATATTCCCTTAGGGTAATATGTTGGGTAATATTTACATCTCCAAATATCAGGTCACAATCCCTATTATATGTTGAAGTTAGAATGATAAGTTATCATATGCTTTGCATATCAGAGCTGGTATCACCTTTCCCATAGGGAATGCTGCCTGAAATTATCATATTCCCAAAGGTAAAATGCATATTTTCTCCAAAATGCATTTTTTTTTTAAATGACAACATTGTAATGCATTTGCTCATAAAAAAAAACATCAACACAGACAAAAATTCTACACTAGCTCCAAAACAGTGGGCTTAACGACTGGCAAGTTAAAATGAAGCCATCCACCCTGTTGAAGATACAGAGGGGTCTTTGCTAGTGTTTAGATGAAAATAAATTTCTAAGTTATAATTTGGGGGATAAAACATAAAACTGTTTTTTAATGACTTTTTTTTTTTTAAAAAAACTCTGGCAAATAAGCATCTGCTCTAATTCAGCATCAGTCAGCTAAAAGGTAAAACTTACTTTAAATGAAGTGCTCCAGTGAAACTCAAGTTTGAACCATATGAGCCAAATCAACAGGGGAAGATGCTACTATGGTCTCTGACGGTGCATGCTGCCCCAGTGTCTTAGTCTGAATTTATTATTAACTAAACCAAAACAAAACAACAAAAAAAAACCCAAAACAAAAAAAAAAAAAAAAAACCCAAAAAAAAAAAAAAAAAAAAAACCCAACAACAAAAAAAAACCCCAACCAAACAAAGCCCAAAAAAGAACTGCTGGTAAGGATTCCATTTTAATCCTTTTTAATACTGTTTAGAAATTCTTTACCAGGGAGGAGACGTGGGCAAGGCCTGGGGCAGGAAAGGCATGCTCTCTACTGGTCTCATCGCTATATTTAACGGACCAGCTAACGTCATTGGTGTGGGGAGGTTCATGGGAGATGTTATAGTGACTGGATGCGCTATATTCACTGGAGCGGTTACTGGGGTAGGTAAATTGACTGGTGTGGTGAGCGTTAATGGAGATGTCATGGATAATGGACTTGTTATAGTTACAGGATGCCCTAGGTTCATCGGACTGGATATATTAACTGCACTTGATACATTTACTGGACTTCTCATGCTCATTGCAGCTGCCACTGTGACTGGGTTTGTGATAGTCCCAGAAGCCACAGAGGACGTTATATTGAATGGAGTAGTAAGAGTCACAGGCGTAGTAGCAGCAGTGGAGGTTTGGCACAAGTTAGCAGCTTCTAAAAATGAGACATAAAAAGACAAAAAGTTTTTAACACATAAAAAACCATGGACAAGATTTAAAAAAAAAAAAAAAAACAAAAAACAAAAACCAAACAAGAACAGGTACAAATTCTGGAATAATTTTCTTTAGGAATTATTAGTAAGTTAAAACTGTTAACATTCTATAGCCTACAAGAAATACAAACTCTCATGCAGTTCATTTCAATTCAATATTTTTTTTCCTGAGAAGTCAAGCGAGGTTGTCTTATAAAGAGGGTTTTGATGTTCATAAAAACAGCATCGTACAATCAAAAAAATCCTCCCAAGAGGAACATTATAAATAGAGGAGAGAGTGTACATACCGAATGGTACGTACTCTATAGCCTTCTCAAAGGTGAACTGACATTCTGTGAAGGTTTTAAAAAGTCATTATTAGGGACTGATAAGCAAAGCTCGTTTCAATATTTACCTGCTTATTTCAGTCTTAATTATTGCTACTAAATTGTTCCACTGATCACAGTACTTCTACTTAGCAATTTTCAAGGCTACCCAGTCAGTACATCTTTCAACCCCCATTATCTCCTCAGCTTTCACATAAGCTACAGCTCCACGCCAAGATGTTTTGTTTTGTGGCTTTTTGGGTTCTTTTGGCATTTTGTTTTGGTTTGGTTTTTTTACTTTGTTTTGCAGTAAGCAGGAATAAAGTGCCGAACAAGGAAGACCCAGGAGGCCAGTGCCCGGCCCTGCTGCCGGTGGGCTCTGGCAGGGCTGGGCACTGGGGGAGCGGGCACCGGTGGTCCGGGACGGCGGAGGGATCACTAGGCATCCATCAGCACCACCTGCCGGCTACCCATACTAGGAGGCTCCAAAAACAGAAGCGGGCGGGAGGACGCGGGTAAAGGGAAGGGATGACTGCTAGAGAAACCAACAAAAATATATTCTAGATCAACGTTACGGCACTTCTAAGTCGTGTCTTATTCCACATTTGTAGGGTAGGACACCAAGCTCAGTCTACACCCACGTTTCAGGAGGTAAGCCAGGAGCAAAGAGTCCGCTCTTGCCACACGGGCAATACAAATGTACCAAGACAGAGTTAACTTTGAAAGCAACATTAGCCCCATTCAAGGGTTACTGTTGGTTCTTCAAAGTCCATATATAGGAGGGGTGGAAAGAAAGGTAAAAAAAAAAAAAAAAAAAAAAAAAAAAACAAACTGTGAAAATAAATCGTATTAGACTAAAAAAAAAAATCCCATACAGCGTTGTAAAGCCAACGCAACAGGTGGCACTAGCACAGGAGGACCAGTATGGAAAGAGTAGCACATAGGCATGGCACTGACTGGTCTAGCTTCACCTTCCAAGCACAGTAATAGGCAAAGACACATCCCACCCCGTGCCCCTTCCCCTTAAGTTAAGCTAACATCCATCAATCTGACAACGCTTCTACCCACCCACCTCCCTCGCCCACCATTCTGTCCAAACCCACTGTTTCTGTTAAAGCATATTCAATAATCTCAATGAGCAAGGAAAGGAAGAGGTAACAAGACATAGGAAGGAACAAGCAGGAAAAAAAAAAAAAAATTCTCAGAGATTTTCTAAATCTGATGCTCATTTGCTGTATCTATTTAGTGGCCTGATGATATTTAATGTTTCTGTTATCACTACATTTTAAGATGAATAAGCTGTTTCTATACTGTCTGATCACAGAATTCAATTCAACTGGAATAACAATCAAGGCGAAAGGTGCTAGCAGCCTAATACACAAACAAGACCTAGAAAAGAAAAAAAGATTGAAGAAACTGAAAGGAAGTTTAGGAGAAAAGAAAAAAAAAAAGTGAGTCAAAAACATTTATTACTAAAAACAGCTAGTGAAGAACAGTAAGTGGTCACTAAGAATTTCTCCTAAAACATGTAATCCACAAGAGTCACATGATGGGCATTAGAAATCAAACTGTTGTGAAAAGAATAAGCTAGCAGTAATGGGAGGCTTTAAACTACTATACTCCTAACTAAATCGAAGCAATCTATTCTTTACAAAACTGACACACTGACCAACAATAGGAAGCTATTCAACTTCAATTACAGTAGCACAGGCATATGTAAGCTGCGAGCTAGCAATAATGAAAAACACGATCACTTATTCGTTAATTTTGTAATGAAAAAAACCAACAAAGAGATAGAAGAGTTAAGTTCTATGAGTTCTAGAAAACTTTATGCAACGACAGTTACATGACGATAAAGCGAATGGAATAAATTGGGAGAGAAAAGATGGAAGGGACACCGAAAGCACCCACATGCAACGGATAATGATGCAACGACACAGGGTGTTATATGTGTGTGTATATATACATATATATATGCACACAAGTTAACAACTGGTAAATATGCATAAACACAGCAAAAAACCACATGCAAGTCAAAAAAAAAACACACACTCTTGCCTTGGAGCAGACACAAACATCCCTTTATAACTGATGATTGCTACGTACACATTCAAGCACAGAGACCAAAGGGAAGCAAGTAATAAGGAGTTCATTTACAACAGCGTAATTTTGGTCATGTTATCCTCCTGCTAGTTTTTAGCTATTACTTCTAACATCGAGAATGCAATTTTCATATAAGACATCCCTTTCTGACATCTTAAACTCCCTCTACAACTGTAAACTCCAGTATCTTATAAAACCAAGACCGTAAGTACTGTTTTGTTTTACCTTTCTTCCTTGCTTTGACGGCCTCTTCCCATAATCTCAGGGTCTCTACCTGCTTTCCAGGCCAACTTGTTACGTGTTGCTGCTGCTGCTGCTGTTGCTGCTGCTGCTGTTGTTGTTGTTGCTGCTGCTGCTGCTGTTGTTGTTGCTGCTGCTGTTGTTGCTGCTGTTGCTGCTGCTGTTGTTGCTGCTTCTGATTGCTGGTCTCTTCACTCATGCATGCTATGCCAATTAAGTAAGAACACAAATTCACCTTGAAAAGTTACTCTGTTTTCTGCTGAGATGACAAAGGCTTCTTCCATAAAGAGTGTGTGGAATCTCGCAGGATTCCAAGAGCAAAAATCACAGAGGTGTTTACAAACATATAATTAATTCTGTGTGTTCTAAAACTACTTTTCCAAGATCTAAAAAACAAACTGTAAGCCAGGAACATCTGCTTTCATGGCCAAAAACGAAATTCCTTTCTGATTATTTTGTTTGTATTTTAGGAAGAATGAAGTAAAAGACTACAATGAGTCTCTAGAATTCAAGCTGGTTAGCCAATTCCACTTTTTCTAAACCTCAGCTCCAGTTAAAAAGAAAAAAAAAAAAAAGCCTTTTTACTTTTTATTGCAAGTATGACTTGAAATTTTCAGTTTACATCACAGAACAGCACGTTACTACTCTCTGGCCACATTACAGCTCATCATTTCCACCTCTGACAACTGCTGTAAATGCCTCCTGTGAACTGGCTTAGCACCACCGAACTGGCTTGGGAAGCCAGAGCTGTAACCCTATACCTTGAAAAAGACTTCACATCCAAATTTCGTATTAAGCTCAACAATCAGGCGGTTTAGACATTCCCGGTACCTTCAGATTATCCAGGAGTAACAGGAACTGAAAAGACGTTAAATTATTACTGTTTAAAAGGCTTTAAGGACAAAGTTTCCAAAGATGCTCCTTACTTCTCCCTCTCGATTCCTCTGAAAACCCGTCTTATATCACTAACCGTGTAGGTTAACTTAAGTTACAGGTATTTTAATGGGGAAGATTTGAAAGTCAAGTCTTCGTTTGCTTACTAGGCACTCCCAGGTTCAGGCTTCAGCACTTCCACAGAGTTTAAGACTAGAATTACAAACATCTCATTCGAACTCCTGCACAACACCAGTCAAATGCCATTAATGCCCAAAACATATCAGGGCTGGACTGAAATGCTTTTCTTGTCAGCTGCTGCCAGAGGGAGGAATCGCTGAGCCCCAGGGTCAAAGCTCAGAGAAAGCAGAGAAATCTTTCTCCTAGTTTTGTTGAGCTTTAGATGAGGCTTCAAACCTGAAACTTGGCAGATCTTAGCAGTTCTTAAATATTCTAAAATCTCCAGAATTATCTGTTGGGCTTTTAGGCCTGTATAGTTCAGGAAGTAGCACTGTACTTAGAAGCTGAGAAAACTCGGGAACTCTTTTCTTCCAAGAGATGGGTTATTCTCACAAACTGCAGGGCGTTCCTAAGGGATAAGAGCACAGTCTAGCAGCAAACTAATTCCACATATGCCAATTTCTTGAGCTGAAGAAGATCCTGTTATCAAGTATCTATTTTTAATAGGTGTGAATACCCAGACTGATGGGTACGTTTTTGCATTTTAACGTAATCAAAGGCAATTCCCTTTGCAAACACATTGTTATTAGAAATGTTTTTAAAACGTTCACCTACTTTTATTGATGCCTTGTTTACAGGTATTACAGTTGATACTTTGGCTCTGCCCGTGTGTCTTTAAGTGGCTGGTGATATATGCTGCACTCAGAAGTTTACCACAGATATTACACGATACCTTTCCTTCATGGCGCACCATGTGTGTCCGCAGTCTGTCTTTGGTGGCAAAGGCAGCAGTGCACGTCTATATGAAGGACAACAGTTACACTTGAAGTGCAGACAGCATCATTACAGTATGAATTACATGCCCGCCGTAAGCCTATTTTACCTTGTAGGTGCAAACAGTATCCTAAGGATATTGACAACCTTTAAGTTTTACCTGTATTTACAGAGAAACCAAAATCAAACTACTAAACAGAAACTGAAAATGGACGTTGGCTCCTGAGACAATTAGGACAACAATCATACTCTGTACTACTTGAACTTTCTCAAAATAGCGAGTTGCGTTACCTACCAAAACAAGAGGTAAGCTATAAAAAAAAACCCCTAGGACAGGGAAAAGTTGTTTTTTGATAACAATTTTACTGCGCAAACCTGAACTTGATATCGTAACTTGCTCAATTAAGTCTGTTCCCATCCAAATCAGAACAAGGAAACGAAACCTTTTCCTAATGCTATTTTTTTTTTTTTTTTTTTACACAAGACTTTTATTTAATATGATGAGTCACTAAAACACAGGCTGGAACAAGCATGACTATTCCAAGCAAAACAGTTAATTGTTCAAGAGCAGTCAAGTTATTTCTCTTACTTGTCTTTTACTGAGTCATCAACTTATGGCAACTTGCTTTCACCTTCCAGCAAAATAACGGATCCAGAAGCAACTATTCCAATCCATTTTAAATGGATATGCTGAGAAACACATTGCACATGTTACTCCAGTAATCAGCATGGAGCTGAGGATGCTGTTACAATCCTACTACTAAGTGAAGCACACCGTAAAAACAGCACACCTATGTCGTTCTCCAAGAAAGCAAAAAGCCTCTCCTCTTCCTAAAAAAGTAGCCACAGCATCCTTTTAAACTGCCTCTACGCTTACATCAGAACTACAGCGCTGCTGGCATGTAAGGTGGATGCGACTTTACTCCTAAACTTGCTTTCCAAAGAAAAATCCAGGGGCAAATACAGGTCTGGAAAGATTATTCACCTGAGATTCTAACGATACAATAGCGTATTGTTCTTAATAAATCATTTTAGCCCTTACTTGGCATTTGAAGGGTCTCTCTGTTGAGTGAACGTGTTTAACGTGACAGCTTAAATGATCAGGCCTGCAAAAAAAAAAGAGAGGAACAGAGAAGAAAATGCATACTGTTACAAATACATGGTAACGACACCTCGGCTAGCGGTGCTGAACACTGCGCTGATGACCCCTTGCAGCCCACAGCCCTCTGCACGGCAAGAATAAATACGTTCCCCATACCTATGCGGTGGCTTTCAGCTAGAGTAACACATAGTTACGCTGAGACCCAACCTGCAGTTTAAAACTTAACCGTGTTCTTCTTACACACCTGAAAACGGTACGTTTGGTCGTACCTTGCGTAAAGGTGACAGATCAACAGCTCTAAAGGTTGAAGTTTTCTCTGTTGCAAGCACAGATATAAATACAGCCAGCAGCAATGCAAGCTCCCCCACAATGCTCTGTCAGTACGCCTCAACCTTGCGCCGAGACAAGGAGGCGGTTTGCCCGCCATGCCCCATTCGGTCATTGACCTTTGCAAAGGCTGGTCAAGGGGCTCCGTGGTCACCACCAGCGACACAGACATGTGTCCTACGGGACCCGGATGAGGTCGCGAAATCATTTCAAAGCATTCTGATAAAAGAGCGACCGCTTTTGGCCACTGCCAGTCTGGCTCGGATAGAGACCCACGCCCTAGAGGTAAATAAGGCTCTTTATCCCCTCACCAATCTTCTAAGATGTCTGGTTCTCCTAGCCCCTCGCTATGATAGCTTAACCCTTCTTGGTTATGAAAAGCCAATACTTGAGCTCGCCTGGGATTTTCTACATGGTACCTCGAGAAGCCTTTTCCACAAACACCACAGGTGTATGGTTTCGTGATGCCACCTTCATGAGACCTCACGTGGTAGGTCATGCGATCCTTTCTCTTGAAGCGCTGATTGCAAATTGGACATTCAAAGGGTTTTTCGTCCGAGTGGGACAGCTTGTGTCGGTTGAGGTGGTAGACATCCCTGAAGGCCTTTCCGCACATCTCACAAGCGTGGTTCTTCTTAACGGGCTTGCTGGGCTTCTTCACCGTCTGAGTCACCGCCATAGCCGTTGCGCCGGCACTACTGCTGGGGTTGGTGGCAGAGGAAGACGTAGTGACTGTGGACAGGATGCCTGCGATAGTCGAAACCAATGAACTTCTGCTGTTGTCACCAGCGATGGTCGAGATAAGGGGCACCATTGTGGTGGGAGTTTTCTTTGGCCGTGACACTAACTTTATCCCTGTGTGGCAGGACTCGTGACGCCTCAAATGGTAGCTGTCCCTGAAAGCTTTGCTGCAGTAAGTGCACACAAAGGAGGTTTTAGGTTTTTCCTTTTTAATCCCAACAATAGCATCCTTTAATGTTTCTGGTGCAGGCTGAGGTTTCTGCGTTATTGGTAAGGGCAGAATCGGCTTCTGATCGGGTGGCTCAACAGCAGAGCTCAGGAGAGGCAACAAACTGTTCTGTGCTGCCTGCTGTTGGTGATGTGAGGCTTCGTGTGCCTAAAACCAAACATTCACACTTAAATTCTATTGATGGGTGCTCACTCTGACACGGTGAGAACATTTACAAACTACAGGAAAGCACATTCTAGACCAAAAGCCATTGAAGTAACAACTGGAAAAGGTTACAGAACTTTGGTTTTGGACAGGATAAACCGCTCCCGCTTTAAATGCATTCGCTGTGCAGATTCTGTGGTAAGTGTAGGAAGGCACACATCATAACAATCAAATAATTATTAAGTTTCCAGAGGGCAACACTTCTTATGGAAAACAACTAGGTGCTTGTCAGATCTTTCACTAACACAGCGTTTGATCTTTACATAACAGATAACTTGTTTTGCTACCGATCATATCAGATGCCACCTCGGGACTATCTTTGGAGCGTATGAATGTACCGACGGGAGTTGCAAAATAACGCCCCGCCTTTAAGCTGAGCTTAGCGCACATTGAGAATTAAACTGCAGCCACAGAGAGCCAGGATGCGATAAGGCATCTTATTTAAACAACGTGTTCGTACCAGCGTGTTAGCACTGAAACCAAAGCAACTTGAATCGAGAGCTGTCTAAAGCCACATTTCTATATTTAGCAGGTTCCCGACGCATTTATACACTGACCACTGTGCTCTTTGCGTCTGGAAACTAATAAGAATAGCAACATGTTCTTTTGCTCTTCGTCAGCAGCTGCTTTGCGATAGGAAGAGAAGCTAATCAATAAGCACCGATAGACATCTAGAGATGCTGGAGAACACAGCATCTTTCGCTGAAAAAAAAAAAAAGAAAAAAAAAGACCCGAAAGCTGTTTCAAACCAGCCAATACCAACTGACTCAACTACAGAATCAGCAGGAGAAGCTAAAGGGAAGAGATGGAGGGGGGGACCCCCACGAGCGTGCCGCAGCAAGCACCGCTCAGCTGAGCCGCAGCCTTGCGCTGCCACGGGCTGCTCTACACCACGCTTGTATTAGGCGCTGTTTATTCTAAGGCAGAAAACACTGTTATTAAAACTCATCCAGTCAGACTGGGACAAAACCCTAGCAGATACAATTTTAAAGTGGTTTAGAAACCACACGGACCAATTCAGCCTAATGGAGCATTAAAATAAATCACTCTAGCACCTTAAGCCAGTTTAAGCGCATCTGTATTCAAGATGTGCCTCAGTCTCATCAGGCCAGTTTTAAATCAGTCTCGTTATTAAGGCAGCATGCCAGGTCTGAAGCTGAGTTTGGGGAAACTTGCATTCCCATTAGATCAGTACCGCAGCCTTCCAGGACTTCTTCCCTACGGTTTCCTTCACAAAATAACACGTACTTCACTCCACGACTCGAGGCTGTGAGAGCTGAATAAAACGCTGCGCTGGCTCGCAACCCCCAACTTGTCTACTTTTACGTTGGTTGAGGATGGACAGCTTTACGAAACGCGCTCAGGCTAATACTCTTCCTACGCAAATCCGTTTCATCGCGTCCTTTGGAGAAGTCAGTATTTCTAGCAGCTCGCTTTGGGACTTTTTCTTAGTTGCATCCAAGCTCCGGCCGCTTTGCCTCTCCCGATCGCAGCAGCGACTACAGCCACCTCGGTGCAACTCTCCCTCGGCTGCAGGGGGGCTCCCGCCGCCTCCTGCCGCCGCACGAGCCCTGCATCGCTTTAACCGCTCATTTTGCTCAGGAGCGCGATGCCGGTGATCTTTGGCTAAAAGCCACCGGTGGATACAAACACTAACCCACGTGGGGTATGAATACGTGCTCCCTAACACTCCAAGCCTATCTGACAGGAAAACAGTTCACGGGAGAAAGCCCGGATTCGGTACGATAATGGGAGACAAAACTCGCGGGAATCGCTAGGAGCCAGGCCAGCCTGCCCGTTGTCTGCGCTTTACATCCCATCCGTGCCGAAGCTCGGGATGCAACAGGTAAGCTGAACGTTCTTACCACGCCGCGCCTGGCCGCAGCAGCCGCCTCAAACAACAGCCTAAGGGGCTGGTTTGCAGAAGCGATTGCCGAAGAGTCAAATGCAGAACTCTCCTGGAGGCTATGCTGCTCAACCAGGGCACGGCCCAAGCTCCAGCGTCTCCATTAAACTTTTGCCTGACTTCAGGGACAATTGCGGATTTTCAACCGTTTATTTTCCGTCTTTTTAAAAAGCGATTGAGACATCTACATTGCATAAAAAGAATTGAGGATGTACAATACACAGTGAAAGTACAATATTAAGCAAGTTGCGTACTTAAATACAATTTTAATTGGAAAAAAAAAAAAACAACTCTGAAATGTTTTACAGCCAACTTCAAATAAGCATTAAACAATGTTATTAAACTGCATCAGAAGACACTTAAGAGCACCTAAGGATAGCTCCAGAGATACAGTTTCAAAGGCAGAGCTAGCAGATCGGATAATAGAGAGCCCAAATCCTTTGGACAAGGTTCAAACTTATGCAGTTTATGGATATTTTTAAGCCTTAAAGAATCGTCAGCACTTCAAGGTAACGATGCACTTATTCCTACGGAACCGACAGAGACGGTGGACATAAAACAATGTATATTCATAAGGCTACAGGCTATGAAGCCACTGCTTATATAAGTCTGCTTATCTTGGTTCCCAGATAGCCAGCGTTATTAGCAGCGCTGTCTTTCCAACAGCCCCTCTTTGCAACAAGCAGTATTCCTCAGTTTCCGAGGGCTGCCTGCATTAAAGCCTTTTAAAAAAAAAGGATCAGGCAGTATGGTTTTTTTAACCCGCTGTTCGAGAAGGGAAGACAGCACCTGCTGCACGCCTCTCGCAATCATTTTTATTCAGGCACAGACCACGGTTTTACTCGACCTAGCATTAATGTCAACTCAACATTTTTGCGATATTTTGATCGCCTGGGACAGGCTCTCGTGCAAAATACCCTCGTCGTTCTATCGCTAATTTTTTTTTCTTTCCTGGGGGGCAGTAAACAAAAAAACCCTTGTAATTCGTGACCCGGAGTGGTAAGATGTGGCATTGTGAACTTCCAATGCCAGAGGCTAAAATATTTTTGCGCTCCAGCCTTAATGTGAGAGCAACAAATTAGCATGAGTCATATCTTGAACACTCTGTTTGATGGATGATTCCTCCTCACATTAACAGATACAACTTTCACTTTCCGAGCAGATACTAAAAGTGGTTTTGAAAAATATGCATTTCAGGGACTAATAATATCCAAACAAGACCTGCTTATTCAGTCTCACAATTACTTCTTTAAAAAGATACAATTCATCAAAATGCCACCTAAACACAATCAAACGACTTTATTTGGAAAGAGCAATTTACAGTCACACATCCCATTGCTAGCAAGACTCAAATCAAGACATGGCAACCTCCTCTAAAAACATTTTGCTAAAAATTACAACTTCGCGCACCGCGTATCAAACTGGCCCTTCGGAATCCTGTCACGGCTGAAACACACACTTGGTACAACTCCCCCCAGGAAGATTAAGCGCGTATATTCAGTCACTTGCATTTATTATTTAACTGATAGCGGGGAGCGGGGCCGGGGAGGGGCTTTTAAATCCGCTTTTTTGTTACTAGTTTTAACTAATCAGTTGGATCGTGGCTGACACACTGTTGCTGAGAACGGGAAGAGGAAAAACTCAAGGCACATCAGGAGCACCTTAACGCTGCTTTCTGCTGGGTGCGTTAGGATGCTCGCACCCTAAATCGTTGGCTTTAACAAAACGACTCAAGAAACGATATTCAGCATTTATTAACGAGGTCTTAAAACTTTATTATTTGGGGCAAAAAAAGAAAAAAAAAATCAGAGGAAAATTTCCACGTCACAGTTTTATGAAGATGCTTCCAAGTCGCGCATAGCTAAGTACGTTAGGAGAGTGAACTGCTGACTCCTTAATTAAAAGCAGCGAAGCCTACTTCTAAATCAAAGTGTGACATCGCTATTTCAAAATACAGTACCCTTCAAAAAAAAAAAAAAAAAAAAAAAATGAAGAGGAGCAGCAAGAAGCTGGACACGTACTTAAAAGTATTGCTTGGCATTTCTTAGAGAGGTTGCTGCAATACCACATTGCCAGCCTACGAACAATTTCCCCCCGAAAACTCTCATCTGTGAGCCCAGGAAGCAGAAAGGAGATAAACCAGCCCCAACTCGGAGGGAGATGGCCCTAAACTAAGGAGGAGATTAACTTCTTCGCGTGAAGTTTCCTACGTGCGAATCACAACTGCCCACTAGAGTGAGAAATAATTCAGAAGCCCTCAGCCAAACTCGATGGCATCACCAGCGTTAATCACGAAAAGGTGGAAAACCCAGCGCCCGGCTCCCGGTACCGGCTCCCCGAAACATTCCCGGCGCGTTTTCGGAGGCAGAGCACCCGAGCGAGTGACTCATCCCTCGGTACTTGCAAGGGAATAATTTTTCCTCTCTAAAGGAATGGTGCTCGCTCTTGGCGGATTTATTCATTCAACTCAGGTTTTCAAACTCGTGTCACGGGTTGGGTTTGGGTTTAATTCTGAGGAGGACAGTGAGTAAGCGAGTGACCGCCGCTGGGAATGTCCGAAGAGGATTATTTTTTTTTTTTAGGTGGTGTGTGGGGGTTTTTTTTTTTTTTTTCCCCCTCCTCGCTGCTGCTGCTGCAATTACACATTTTATGTTTTCAAGCTCAAAAAGAGCAGGAGGCATCAGAAAACAATCCGGCATGAAAGGGCTCGGCTCACAAAAGCCAGGGGAGGATATTTTTTTTTATTCTTATTATTTTTTTTGGTACACTGGATTTTCTTCGGAATTACATAAACAGCGGTGTTTTTAAGTCAGTCTTTCGCAGACAGAAGGGGGGAAAATTGTGACTCAGTTGGCAAAGGGAGGGGTTGCACGCTCCACCGTCCCTATTCCTCCCTGTTACCGTTAGCATTTCGCCAGTTTTTACAGAAATCCGGCCCGCTCGCGTCCTATTTTAAAAGAAAACAAGCTCCCTCGTCACCCGGCCCCTGAGTCAGGCTGTTTAAAGAGGGATTAATTTATTCTCCCAGACACGGTGTTTGTTCCATCGGGGTTTTGTTAGAGCCCGGTGGAAGGTTGGGGTTTGGGTTTTTTTTTCGAGGGGGGGTCGGG